GCGGGAGTGTCTGGAGCAGACGTGGGGCACTCAGGGATCAGGGCTGCGTGTGCAGGTTCTGGCTGGTCCAGAGCTGGTCCGCTTCATCGGGCCAAGTCTGAAGTGGGCGTAGGGTGGGTCAGGATCAGGGCTGTGTGCGCAGGTCCCTGCCAGTACCGTGGGGCCGGTGGTGGCAGCAGCTAGAAGGAGCAGCTGCCACTGAGCTGCCTAGAAAGGTAGTCTAGCTGCAAAGGTGTCCCAGACCTACTGTGTGCCTAGAGGGCAGCAGGATGCACCACAGACCAGATGGGCCAGGCGGGGACCAAGGGACCCACTGTGGGCTGGACAAAGTCCCTTTCTGGGCCAAATCCAGCCTGCTGGCCAGATTTTGCCTACCCCTGCTCAGTGGCAAGTCACAGAGTTGTGCAGGTAAAGGGCAGTCAGAGAAGGATTTTTGCCTTAAGGTGTGACTGCTCCACTAAGCCAATTAGTATTTGTGTGGCCTTCAGCATAACATGTTAGCATATGAAATGACTGCACTCATTTGGAAAGAGCTACTGAAGTACTGAGGTGAAAAAATACCAGTTTTCATATATTAGTTGTTTTATGTGTAAATCTAATGGGAAACAACTTTATTGTGGCTTGCATAGTCAACATTTTTATATAGTCAACTGCAAATTGTAGAACAGCCAGTATCATTTCTACTGATTAGAAACCAAGTGGAAATTCTAATGTTGCAAAGTGGGCAGAGTTCATTTAGCTTCTGTCTTGTCAACTCTTACAATTTTATCATGATTCTTATGATATTCTGTGGAGTCATGTGATGAGGTTTCTACTGTTTTCAATTGGATGGAAAAAAAGTTTCCAGCCCTCACAGTTGTGAGAAAAGCTTGAAAACATGAACCCTTAGGGATTAAAAAAACAGATGGCACCTACAAAACCAGGTTTCTACAAATATTTTTGTGATTTTTTTAAAGTCAATTTTCCTTACTTTTGAGGGTCTGGCTCTTGGTTTTTGACATGTTGAAGTTTACAACAAGTGATAGTATTTTTGTTTTTGTATACTTCCAAATATTTGTGGCCTTTTTAAAAATGGAAACTTAACATGGAAGTTCAGGATTTGTTTACATTTGCAGGCTCTTGATTTTGTTTGGGTTTCATTCTGATAGGTTGTTTTAAAAGGGCTTTTGGCTGAGATAAGAGGTAGCTTCCTTCCACTATAATGTGAGGCTGACAAAGCTGTTTGCCTGGGCAATTCCTTAGGTTTAAAAAAAACATTATATATATTTAGTGATAGGAGGCCTGCAACCCTGCAGGTCACTGTGTCAATGCATAATAGCCATGCCTGGACAATGAGAGATTTCAGAAATATCTTTTGCCTGTTGCAAAATGGCCAGAAAAAAAGGTCTACTCTAGGAAAGGAAGGGACATGTGAAATTCTCAGGCAGACTGATATAATTTGACATTTAAAGGGAGGATAGTACTAAAAATCCATGCTAATGACTGAAAATTGGTTTCAAGCTTTATTGAAATATTAGCATCTCTTCCAAATAAAAGTAAATCTTGGATGATTGCTCCAAGTTAAACCCTAAGCATATTTCCCCTGAGCAATTTCCTAGAAATTTTGGGTTGTTTTAGCAAGTTTTCCATCCTAATGTCTAATTTTATTTTCACAGTCTTCTACTGGGTGTTCATGTGCATCAGGTTTTGTTTCAGTCTGAAGTTTTAGTGCAGTGCCAGTGAAAGTTTATGCATGGTTTAAACAAGGATCCTAGTATAATTCCTTACTTCCAGGCAATAATAAAGATTCCTTCAAGGTACTGTAGTCTGTTCATTTGTATTTCTTCATGCAATATTTCTGTTTGCTTCTGATTTTGAATCTTTATACTATAGTTCCTGTTGTTCTTTTATTATTCTTAGATAATACAAAGGGTGTAATCTAAGCATTGCTTTCTTTTGCATTCATGCAGCCCAGTTGGCTTCAGTGATGTTTCACCAAACTGAATGAGTGAAGAATTTGCCCCACATGCTTAAACTGGACTGTGAAATAGTTCCCATTTATTGACAGCAAAATCAGTATTTCCCATTGTTTTTTATTAGCATTTCCATATAAATTAGCTCATCAATAAAGTACTGTTTCCACTCTGGCAGATGTCTGGTGTTTCTCATCAATCTGCTGTTTCATATGCCTTTTCTTTGTTTGTTTGTTTTTGTTTTGAGTGTCTGTAAATAGAAAAGATGCAGTATTGTACAAGAGATTTTCTCTGGACTTTAATAACAATAGCCCTAGGTACATACACAGCTGTTAAGGATAGGGAGCCAAATTCCTTTTTCTGGATTTTGCTTGAAAATTCGATTGCAGTGAAATGACATGGTAGGCTGTGGCTAATATCAGTGTTTCTTTATCATGTAGCCTTCATCTCCATAGGTGGAAAATGGACAAACAGAAAAATCACACTGGGCTTGTTAGGGTTACCATACATCTGGGTTTTCCTGGATATGTCCTCCTTTTTTAGACCCCTGTGCTGTGTCTGGGTGGGTTTTTAAAATAAAAACAAATGTCTGGGTTTTTTGCTCTCTCGGACTGGCTGCTTGGGTCTGGGAGCAGCGGACAAGGTGATTGGCTGTCGGGGGTCACGTGCTCCCCGTGTGGGCTCTGGCAAGCTGAGAGAGAGAGAGCGGGGCAGGGAGGAGTGGGGAGCTGCAGGTCCAGAGTACAGGCCACTGGCAACACTGGGGAGGCAGGGGCTGCAGGTCAGGAGTGAGGGGCACCGCCGGGCTAAGGGGCAGGGCAGGGGGCTGTGGGTCAGGAATGAGGGGCATTGGCAGGGCTGGGGTCAGTGGGTCCAGAGTGAGGGGCGGCAGCAAGACTGGGGGTTTGTGACTTGTCAGTGGGGCGCAACAGAATGGGCAGGGCACTTGCATGGCACTACCCCCCATCATCATATTCCTCCTGTGCCTCTTCTCCCCCCTGTGACAGGCATCCTCTTTTTTGGACCTGGAAATATGGTAACCCTAGTGATTCTACTATTAAATTATTTTGAGGCTTGGGGAGAAAGGTGTGAAACAAAGTCATAGGCCCAAATAAAGGGCCCCGATCCCGAAACATGGGGCTTGATGGAGGTGGCATGGAGTCCTGGGGCCCCAATCCTGGCATGCAGGGCCAGGCAGAGGCAGTGTGGTCCAGGTCTGGGCATGTAGATCCAGTCTTGGGGGGCAGGGTCCAATCCAGTCTGTGGCCTGGTCCTGCACTACTCATTTGTCCCACAAGGCCAAAAAGCTGAGCACCACGGCCATAAACACATCAGGGTCAGACCATTCACTGTTTGGTAAAAATCCACCCTGACTACTAATTTTATTTTGTTGATTATGAACTTGTAGTAATGAAGATACTCAAATAATAGAAAAAGGAGGAATACCTAATGTTATGTTGTGTCATACAATCTCAATAGATAAATGTCATGGGATTTACTGTGGTTGCATTTGTCTGCTGGACTGAGGGTGGCATGAGGATGCAGACCACCTGGGTTTAATTCTCAAACAAATGCTGACTGAACTGGGTGTTCTTGGCAAAGTCAGTTGGCCCCCATCTGTTTCCCCTTTGGATGTTTGGGCACTAGAGCAGATTTTGTGGCATGGTTGTGGCATGTCACATACTGAGGTTGTGGCATGTGTATCTGTGAAACCTTTAAGAGCAAGTTAGACAAATACGTGTCTTGTGTTTAGACAGGGCCAATCCTGCCTTGAGCAGGAAGCTGGATTAGATGGCCTGAGGTCTCCTTCAGCCCTAAAAATCATACTTACTTCCTTGTGAAGCACTTTGATACTGAAGGATGAAAAGACTGTATAAAAGCTGGGTAATATTATTCAGAGTTCTCACCCAAAGTGTTGTACCAGTTATGCAGGAAGAGTCTTTGTCACTTACTCAAATCAACCTGTTTTGTGCAATCTCCAAAGCCATAAGATTTTTCTCCTGTTTTACAGGTTTCCCTTCCTTCCCCTGTGTCTGTTAAGACAGTGATTCTCAACCAGGGTGTTGCAGCGCACAGGGGTGCTGCCAGATCCTTTGAAGGGTGCTGTGAGGTGTGAAGAGATAGATTGTCCCTGCCTGGTCAATCCCCTACCCCCCATGCTCAGCCCCTCTGCAGGGAGGCAAGTACTGTGATATGAGGGGTGCCTCAAGTCCAGAACAGTTGAGAACCACTGAACTAAGCAAAGACAAGAGACCAGGGAGGTGGACTGAGGGAGGGTAAAATTCATATATAAGAAGGATGATTTTTAAAGCGTATGCTTTTTAATATAAAAATAAAATGCAGGTAACCTGTGGTATCTTTGAAAGACATGACACAGGACCATAAGCTTTTCCATTCAAGGTGATGGGCACATGCCCGGCTTGCTTGAAGATTTCATAGTTGAGAACAGTGCCATGCAGAAATACCTAAGATAGTTCTGAGCAAGTTAGCTTGCATGCCATTAGCAATATAGCTATGGTAGCATGGTGCTATGCCTCGGCTAGTATACTTCACCTCTTACTGGGTTAAGTAGCCAGGAGGAACACGCATTAACATGACAGTATTGCTTCTAGCACCCTACTTAACTCAGGTATGTGTGTATTTTTCTGTGTGGGCCTCTCCCATGCAAATGAAGCAGGTGTTAGGCAATCAGCTAGCCACCTTCTAACACACTTGGTGGTAATAAAAATAATACCTGAGCTAGGTGGGTTTTTGAGCTATTGTAAGCGCAGAGAACTAGACAATTCTGCATTCCCAGAAAATGACAAGTAAAGGAGAAATCATGGACCTGACTGGGACTAGCGGGTTTGCAGAATGAAAAGAAATCTGGCAAAACCCTCCCTGAGATTCACGTGAACCTGAAATGTGGCCTTTTGTAAAGGAGCATTACCTTCTCTGCCATGGGCTTCCATCTCAGGCCTTCATCAGCATCTTCCTGATAACGCATACAGGACTCGGGAACCTTTTCCTTCATCAGTCAGTTGTTTGAGATTTTTTCCCATGATGGTTTGGGATTAAGGAGATGGGTATGCTGTTGTTGCCTTGGCCCATCATGTCCCTAGGCTTGCTGAAGTGTAAGCATCCAAACCACCACAGGTTAGTGTGCTATATCAATCCAGGCCTGAAAGATTTGCTGCTGAGTCATGTCTGCTACTGAAAGAAGTATGCTCTTTTTTTTTTTTGCTTACAGGTTTTCTCCCTCCTCCCTTTTCCTTCCTTCCACCATCAACCCACTCAGTGCAGACTCAGCCAGGAGAAAAGGTGTAGTTCTGATTCTTATCTCACTTCATTTGCTTTGCTGTGGCTCTGTGGGCCTGATTTACAAGAGAATCGTGCTGGTGGGTGCAGCATTTGCCCAGTATGCCCCTACTAAGGGGGACCCACTTAAATTTAGCTGCTTGTGTTTTTCTTTTTTTCCTACTGGATCTGTGAGGGCACTTGGCAAGTACATTCACAAACTTCAAAGATTAATTGACAGACCTGGAGATGCTCCATGTAAACTGCTGGATTCTGTGGTCAGAGGTGCTACTAGTAATTCTCAGTATGGAATATCCCTACTTCTGCAGCTTTGGACCATCTGGTTAGGCACTGTCCTGCACTCTACTGGCTCTCACTCTCCTGCCCAGAATTACTCTGTAGTATAGAGTGATCACGTTCATGACCCCTATCCTTCCTGACACTGGTCCCTTCATTTGGCATATGCACGGTTGTAGCTTTACTGCTATCCTTTTTAGCTGGCCAGAAATGAGAGGGAAAAAAATGAATAAAATCGTATTCACTTCACTTCACTTCTAGGTGTTTATTGCCTTTTCTTTAAAATTAAAGCAGAATACATTTTGAAGTCAAATGCTAGTTTGAGATGAACAAGAAGGGGAACTGTTTCATATCTAAGATGCTGAAATGAAATGTTTTGATTTTTCTGAAGTATTTCCCCCCCCCCAATTTTTCTTACCAAATTCAACCCCAAATCCTGAATTTTATCAGTTAGCCTCAAAATGCATTATTCAGCAAATAAAAATATTAGTCCAAAATGTTGCCCAGCCTGGGGCTAGCTTTCTCTGCACTAGCTCCACAGATACTGATAGTAAGTTGAGAGGGAAAGAGAAGGGAACTTTGGAAGATGGTCTGCCAAACCCAGCCATTCCCCAGGGCACAGTCACTAAAGGTTGGAGTCACAATAGTCAAGGACAGGACAATTACTCCTGCCTGAAGCTGGAGCAGCTTTCATTTTCCACATGGCAGTAGCTCCCAGCTCTGCAATAAATGAGCAATGAGCACTTGCAGCCACAGGCAAAGAGGCTTTTCTGGTTAATTTTTTTTATACACTCCCCACTTCCTGAGGAGCTCATCAATACTTATCACTGAAATAATTTAGATTTCTCAATTTTCATGGGTTTCAACTATAAGAGTATTGCTAAAAAACAACTCAGTGCTGTGGGTCGGATATCCACAGGACCCCAGGGCGGACTTTATCCAGAGAACTGAGCTTGTTTTTGATTAGGTGGAGCTCCAAAACACTTCAGATTAGAGATTCAGAGTTAAATAAATTATTTATATCTTGAGGGCATAAAACTTAATGAATTAGTAATAAGCAATACTGTTTTCCTATCCACAAAACTAGGTTGGATGTATTCATTTCAAATTTGTTTTCATTAAGGCCTTTGGGCCTGACTCATTCACAGGGATGCATTGAACATTTGGAGTAGCTTTGAGTCAAGGGGTTAGACCCTGCAACTCTGGAGCAAAGACAGAGGAGGAGAACTTTACAGGGAGTGAATAGGGAGAAAGCAGTATATGCTGGTACACATTTACAGCCCTTTGGATCAGTATCATAAAACCATAGAAAAGTAGGAGGTCATCTAATCCAACACCCCCTACCTGAGACAAGATCTTTTCTATCCAAATCATCCCATACAAAACCTTGTTTAACCTGTTAGTAAAACCACAGAGTCAATTCTGACACAACTACAAGGCACAGCAGTCTAAAAATCCATTCTGATCCCAGCTGTGGCAATCAGTCTGATCCTGAGTGGAGGGATGAGACCCTCTAACCAGGAGCCCCAGGTTTTCATCCAAGCAGAAACATTGGTTCATTCCAGTCAATATCCCCAACCAGCCAACACCCAGTGCTTCTAAGGGGAAAAAAACAAACCAAAAACCAACACATTTAACAACAGGAAGGATAATTCTTTCCTGGCCCCATGTGACAACCAGCAAAGTACAGAAGCATAGGCAATACCTTTTAGGCCTGTGCGAAGCAGCTGGTATTCACTTCGGATTTGGATTCGGCTGATTTGGGGGACAGTGATTCGAATCACTGGCCCGAATCAATTTGGCTGAGTCTGATTTGGAGATTCAGCCGCATCTCCAAATCGGTCCCATCGCCTACCCGCTTTCCCTGTCAATGGCTGCCCCACCCACCCCAGCTCCTGGCTCTTTGAAAAACAAAAAACCTGCACTCACTGGCTCCTGCCAGGCAGGGGGCAATCTCTGCTGCCCCCTGCTGTCATGGGGGCTCTGCCACGAGCCCCCAGAAGCCCCAACAGCTGCTGCAGCAGCCGGTGGCTGGGGGCATCTTTTTTAAAGAGCCAGGAGCTGGAGCTGGGAGGGCAACCATGGGGTGGCTGGGAGAGCGGTTAGGGGGCGCTCAGGAGATCTGGGGGAGCAGGCAGGGGATGGGGTCTGGCAGGGGTCCCCCCATGCTCCCCTCCCCCTCTCCTCCACCCCCCTCCCACTCCCCACTTACCAGCACAGAGTCTGGGTCCAGCTCCGTGCAGCTGTGAGTGGGGACTGCCCGAATCTCTGAAGCTCTCCAAATCTTTTCCAAATCAATTCAGAGAGATTCAAATCGATTCGGACCTTTTAATTGGTCTCCTGATTTAATTTGGATTTGGAGATTCAGCTACCAAATTGGGCCAAATCTCCTCCAAATCGAATCAGCACCCAAAGCTTCGCACAGCCCTAATACCTATAGCACAGCATAGGCATAGCTACTCCTAGATCATCCCTGACCAATACTTGTCTAGCCTCTTCTTGAACACCTCCACAGTTTACCTAATGCTTCTACTGATGCAGCCCAAAACCACATTCACCTTCTGTGCAGCTACATCACACGGCAGACTCATGTTGAGTCTGTGATCTACCAAGACTCCTAGAGTCTTTTCCATAGTGCTGCCACGGATCACCCACTTTGCACTTGTGTTTTGGTTATTCTTCTTAAGGTGTGGCAACTTGCATTTTTCAGCATTAAACTTCATCCTGTTAACTCCAGCCCAGCTTTCCAATCTGTAAACAGCCTTCTGAATTGCACTTTACCCTCTAACATGTTTGCAAACCTTCCCAGTCTCATGTCATCTGCAAATTTGCTCAAGAGGCTCTCAATTCCAGCATCCAAATCAGTGATAAACACATTGAACAGCATGGGGTCCAGAACAGACCCTTGATCCTGCCATTATGACATGGATCCTTTTATAATTGCCCTTTGCTTACAACTATTGAACTAGTTGTCTATCTACCTTGTAGTATTTTTGCTTAGCCCACACTTCTACAACTTACTTATGAGAAGTTCATGCAAGTCTGTCAAATGCCTTGATAAAGTTCAGTAATACTAGATCTGCAGCATTCCCTTGATATCCCAAAGCAGCTCTTTTGTTAACGAAGGAGATCAGGTTTTTTTGGCATGAGTTATTCTTAGTAAATTCATGCTGGCTGCTTGTGATCAGCCTTTCCTCACCCAGATGCTTGTAAATAGATTAACTTATTATATGCTCCAGTAACTTTCCAAGTATTGAGGTCAGGCTAACCAGTCTGTAGTTCCCCAGGTCCTTCTTTTTGCTCTTTTTTTTAAAGAGAACCATTATGTTGGTTCTTTTTCAGTCCTGTGGTACCTTGCCCATCTCCTATAAATTCATAAATATTATTGCCAAGGGTTTTGAGATCTCCCCTGCCAGTTCCCTCAATAACCTGGGATCAAGTTCATCATGCCCTGCTGATTTGTATTCTATTCTAACCCATCAAAGGCTCTCTGACAGTTTCCTTATTATCTCATCCCTCAGTTATTCCCCTTCCTTATCTAGATAATCCGTATTAGGTGTCTTGTTGCAGCTTAACTTTTAGGCAAAGTAGTTGTTAAGTAGTTCTGTCTTCATTGGGACTTCTTCTGAGAGTTCACCCTGGCTGTTTAACAGCAGACCCACAGATTTCCTGGTCTTTGTTTTCTGGCCATCATACTTATAGAACCTTCCTGTTGTCTTCAAGCTCCCTCGCCAGGTGCAGCTCACTTTTTTATTTTTGCCTCCCTAATTTTGCCCCTGCAGGTTCTTGCTGCTTCCTGATATGCTTCCTTGGTGACCTGCCAATCTTTCCATTGCCTGTATGCTTTCCTTTTGCATTTGGAGCATGCTAGAAGCAGCTCAGCTGCACTGGTCTCTTACCATTCTTCTTGTGAGCTTCTAATAGCTGTCAAAGTGCTTTGCCAAAGTGGATAGTATCATTAGCCACACTTCACAGGTGGGAAAACTGAGACAAAAAGCGGTGAAGTGACTTACCCAAAGTCCTTCAGCATGCCAGTGCCAGAGGTTGGAAATGGAACCCATGCCTCCCAAATGCCAGTCCAGTGCTCCAGTGGCAGCACAGGTCCAAGTGGGGCTTCTAAGTGAATGCCTCCTGGGAGACAGAGTTGATTGGCTAAAAGTACAACAGTGGGATTTTCAGAAGTGTTCATCTCTTGTCTGTCTGTGTTCTCCTGTAGTCAGCAGAAGTCAAACCATTTACTCTATTGGGAACTGCACCAGGTTCTGCTGGTTCCTTTTGACTGCCTTTACTCAAAAGGAATCAGAAATTCGGAAACAGTTCCCTAATTTGAAATGATAGCTACCTTTGTCCTGGCCCAGTTTCAATCTGGATACTCCTGCTCTATGTGTTTAAAATTCTCCCAGCGGTTTCACTGGGATATGATATTCTCCTTTGCTTGTCCCCTGCTGTTCTCTGAAGTTTCTATATTTGGTCCTTCAAATGGCTACATTTCAGCAGTGTATACAATGAGTGTTACATATGATGCCCAGCCTGTGCATCAGTTTATTACATTTGTCAGCCCCTGTGGAAACTTTCAAGAAGGTTTTATGAAAAGCTGAAATAATTCATTTTTATGAGTGTGAGCATGTTCCTGTAGCATTATTAGAACAACCTCTCTTCTCCTTTACTTATAGATATTGCACCTGAACTATCAGCTATCTGCAGCCATGTCATTAATTTTGTTTAGCTGTTAGGTTTCATCTCACCAGTATTATTCAGATGCTACCAGAAACTTGCTGTTAATATCCTCCATACTTGCATTGCCCCATCTGAGTACTTCACAGACCTTAATGTGTGCATCTCAGCATCCCTGTGAGATGATAGAAGGGCTCTCGTGGCTGATTCTGCAGAGAAGGAACTGAGATGCAGAGACAATACATGACTTGCTGACACGGGACATCCCATGCTTGTTTTTCCAATGTCCTATAAGCTAACACTCTAACCATGGGGCAAGCTGATATAATTGCTACAGTATTTGGTGAATTCTGACTGAAGAATGTTGTCCACACAGCATTAGCTCAAGCATCACTTCTCACTAATTTTTCTTTTAAGCTTTAGGTGCCATGTCAATGACATTATCAAGTTAGTTCATAGTTGTCTTTGTGTGTCATCTTTTCTATCACATTTTCAGCAACAGGGCACATTCGGATGCACTAGCCTCTACCTCTTCTTCAGGATACTACTCTGAAAATGTTCATGTGAAAAATATGTGAAATTCCAATAGCCCTTGTTCTAAAACTGAAAAATTATTGGAGGAGGAGATTTTCTTAGGCCCAAGGGGGCCATAGCGGGGCAGCTTCTAATGACATTCAGGTATTTAGCTACCCTTTATCCCTTTGAACACTTCCCCTGTAATTCTAAATCTAAACTGGGTATTTCTTATGCTTAAACCTAATTGGTCTTAACACTGTGCTTTCTTTTCTTTTTCATCGACAGGTTAACTCTAAAGAAAAGTTGTTCCTGACTGCCTTCCCTGTTGTGCAGACTGCTCCCCAAGAGCATTGCTGGAGAAAGCTGACTGCAAGCTTCAGGTCAAAGAAATTCCATGGGGACTGTACCAGATCCTCTGAGGTCTGCCAAAGTTTCATTGGTTTCAGTTTCTGAGGAGGAAGATCACCTGGGAGATTTGCAGTCCACCAAGCACCAGCACAAACAACCAAGTGTAGAGAGGAGCAGTAATGGCATCTCTCATACAATGTCTGAATCTGTTGGCATGTGCTTGTTTGACCTGAAAGATGTGACAGCTGCCAATGTTCAAAGGCAAGAACAATTCTGTGAGAATGTTGCCAGCCAGCAGGACATACGTTCTTCTGGGTCCCTCAGCCAAAATCAAGAAGTATATCCTGTGTGCACAAAGACAGCTAGTACCTCTGAGCAAAAAGACAACAGCACCCCCATCAGGCACATGCAAATTGTAACAAAAGGATATACAGTGGGACATGTACCGGATACAATGCCAGCTACCCAGAATTCCAAGCTTATGCACAGTGACCAGCCAAAGACAAGTTCACTAGCACAAGCTGATGATTCTGCAGTGAAAACCTGTGGGTCAGAGGATCAGACAGACCAGTGGGTCAGAGGATCAGTTGGTGAGTTAAATTCCTCTTCCCCAGGCAACACTACCAATAGTCAGTCCTGTCATCGTAGCTCTCCAACAAATATCCTGCAAAGAGTACCCATGGAAAAGGAAAAGAGACTGGAAGTAATTGACTCTGGATTCCCTCAGGCAACTACTCCAGTAAAAGATTTTGCAACTGGTCTGAGCAAAGGGCCTCAGGCTTCTTTGGAGGCAGAAGAGAGGGCTGCAACTGATGTGAAATCATGTCCCACAGGTAATACTGCCCTTGACCACAGTGACAAGACATCACCCCAATTCAGACTTGAGGCCATGGAGCCAGCATGTAATGCAGACACTGAGAAAACAAGGGTAGACAAGCAGCAGCTCTCCAGGTTCAGAGATATGGGTACAATGACAGTCCAGCCTGAGACCAGTTCTTTAGCTGAGGAAGCAAGTAAGAGGATGTGGCGAGATGCTGAGGTTCAGGCTGTGGCTAGTGTAGAGAGTAAATCAGCTTCTACCAGTCCCAGTATCCTTGCTGCATTCTTAATGGGAAATATTCCTGCAGAAGAAAAGGAGAATTTGCATTTCATTTACCAGGGTTGTGGGGAGCTGACCCACTCAGAGGATGTTGAAAGCTTTTCATCACTGAAAAAGTCCCCCTGTTGTCCTGGTGTCATGCCAGACCTGCATGTTCCACCAGCTGCAGTGGAGACAGTAAAAACTCAGACTGTCAAACTTCAAAAGCATCCAGGAGACCCATCTGACACCATCTGTCCAGCATTACCCGATAACACAAAAGCTGCCTGTCCATGCGCACAAGCAGCCAGTAATACCCATAGAACACCTGTTGATAGAGCAGGACGACAAGGAGTCTATCCAGTCAGAGACAGCAGTGATATTCCTCAGTTGCTCTCAGATGCTCCAATATCACAGAAAGCAAAACCTGTTTACCAGATTGCAATTAACACCAGTAAGCAACCTGCAGTACATCAGCAGTCTAGAGATAGGGAGCCCATCCCATTTCCCTCTGCAATTGCTCCAAAAGTCAACAGTAACTTACAGCACATTGTCAGTGATGCAGGAAATAAGCAGTCACCTATATCCTGTAGAACACACAGGGAAAGTGGGCAGGGAGAGACCTGGGGCACAAAGGCTGGTGGTTGTCCTGACAGAAAATCTTTGCAAGGTAAGAGTGGTGATGAATTGAAGACCAGTCCATTTAAAATGGATATGAAACCAAAAGAAGAAAAGTTAATGCTTCTTGATCCTAAAGGAGAGATGCACATCAGTGCTGCACCTGCCTGTGGCCACATCAGAGTATATACACCAGTCACTCGTAAAAATGAACAGGGTAAAGTCCAGGGAGAAATTAATCAGGCAAAGGAAGACAGTAGTCTGAGTCTGCAAACTGGACTGACAGCTGACTTGAGTGGGAATTCTGCTCACTGCACTTCTGGGCTGGGGGCACATGCAGCTCCACAGCAACAAATCAGCCCAGCAAATGACACCAGAAATGAACCCAAGCTAAATGCAACTCCTGACCTGGCCTCAGCTCAGCCTTTGCTAAAACTTGGAGAAAAGAAGAAACAGTCCACTCCAGCCATGGAAGCCAAAGTACATGTGAAGCAATCTAAACACGTCAGGGATGTTGTATGGGATGAACAAGGCATGACGTGGGAGGTTTATGGGGCATCCCTTGACCCAGAGTCACTGGGTATAGCGATCCAAAATCACTTACAAAGACAAATACGAGAACACGAGAAACTGATCCGGGCTCAAAACACTCAGAACCGGAAATCCATTTCCTCAGATACATCTTCAAATAAAAAACTGAAAGGAAGGCAGCATAACGTGTTCCAGGCCATGCTGCAGAACTTCAGACACCCCAATTGCTGTGTCCGTCCTGCTCCTTCTTCTGTACTAGATTGAAATGGTGTGCTTCGGGCTGTGTGAGTCCAAAGATGTGTACACCTCCCTGAAGTGGAAAATAAACCTTGCTGTTTGGTTCTGTTTGGGTCCATAATGCAGCAACTTTGAAATGATTATCTGTTGTTTTCCAGATGGTTGCTACATCATACCTAGTATTGCCCCCTTTACTATTTTCATAGTGCACCCTCACCTAGTCTACTGTAAAGAGTTAGGCACTTAGCAAAAGCACAATTTTCAATTGCCAGCTTAGTGCAGTGAGAGTAGCCTCTCCTGATTAGAGGTGAAACTGAGAGAAGATTAGCAAAAATGTATTTTTAAAAAGTGATTTTTGATGTATTGCACAGTTTTACATGGGCTTGTGGGGGGGTTTTTGGAGGATGTGGATCATGCTTAAACTGCTGGAAAACTCTCAACAGAGATATTCTCTAACACCAACAGAAAGCAAATACTTTTAAAATCAAATTACCTGCCTTGTGTGAAGTGCATGAAAGGAATAAGAGGGTTTACCATTCTCTATTAATAACATTTACAAGTGGAATTTTCAAAGGAACCTAAAGGAGTTAGGTGCTTTGCTCCCATTGAAACATCACGCAGGCTGGTTTCCTAGTTCTGTTAGACTACCTTGAAAATCCCAGCATGTTCTAATAAGTGATATTCCTGACGTTGTTAAGTCATGAAGGTTAGTACTAGGGTATAAACAGATGTCTTCTGTGGACTAGTATCAGCTGTGCCAGGATGTGTCCCAACACAGCTGATCCACTACAGAGATTGCCAGAGCACTTGTGGCAGGAACCTAACCTGTGACACTCCTGGGGCTTCAGGGACCTGATCCTGTGGAAAAATGGCCCCAGGGGCAATGCCCCAACTGAGAGCACATCAGTGTAAGCAAGGGAACCCTAGGCTTTCCCACTGGCACAGGTGTGCCCTAGGAATCATCTGTCAGGGGATTCCCCAGGAACATGGATCTCATTGCCATGCTCTTAACTCCTGCCTCCACACTAAGTGTGTTGTGCTCACAAATTTGGGCATTTGGGGTGTGACAATGGACTATAAACATCAATGCTTAGTTTTTTTGCCACCACAAAAATGTCTATAGTGGCACATAGGTCATATTTTCTGCAGCAGCAGTGACGGTTTTTTGTTTTCAGTAGAGAATAGTAATTTTCTTTCTATATAAAAAAGGGGGAAATCAACAGAGTTTTTAATATGCCAAAGTAAAAGCCATATTCAAGACATTCTGTATGTTTTACAATGCTGTTTAGAAAAAGAATGGGTTAAAAAAATAAGCTTCCAAAGAAACTTACTTGATCACAAATTATCCTTTGGTCTTACAACTCAGAAGTTCAAAATGAGGAGAGCTGGAAGGATTAAGACCCTAGTCACAAACTTGCAGTTTCTTAAGTATTGCCCATGTCCCATGGGAGCAGTTCCATTGCAGGGCTTGCAGGATTAGAACTTGAGTTGTGAAACTGCAGATACTAAGCAATGTAAACCCATTAAATAGATGTTCTTGCAGTTACGTTTCACTCATGGAAACACTCTTGAAAAGTGAATCCCAGGTGCTTTTAAATAATAAATTTTACATTTATGCATACAAATACTGAGAATGGATACATTTTATAAATTGTATGACACTGCTTATCCCAGCAGGGTGTTGCATATAAACACAACTAAACAGAAGAAATTAAATCAACCAGCCATAGATTGCATTACACTCATGGCAGGTGAAACCATAGACATTTATACATTACTTTCTGTGACTGTGATGAGAGAAGATTATATTTAAAATCTTTACCCAACAATAAACTTTACAACAGCGCACCTTTTCTAGAGATGACTCCAGCAAGGTCTATGGTGACCTACAGACAAAGAAGTTAAAATTAGTCTAAAGTCCCTATTCGGATTTATGTTACCTCACCCTAGAGAGTCATCTGCTTCCTTCTCTTGATTTATTAGTGTTACACATTCAGAAAGCAGAACCCTACTAGCCAAAGGAGCTCCAAGTATGTGACCTTGAATACATACAGCAAACTTTTAGCATTCAATTTGGAAAATAAAGATATAATAGCTACTTCTTGAAGAAATTCAAATAGTTGAGAGAAAAATACTGATCTGCTTTCAGATATTCCACAGGTACAACGCCAGTCTACATCAGTAGACTCATCCAAGTCACTGAATTAACTAGAGTTAAACCAGTTTTACACCTGCTACAGTTCTGGCCTCATGTTCCTTTGTCAGGTATATCTAATTCAACAGATACATACCCAAAGTTACAGGACATGAAACACTATTGGAACTCAGTGGTAATGTCTCCCATCATCTGCTGCTCTGGTTCAGGGTAGAGCAGGTTGTTTCTGTGAGCTTTTAACTGCGCCCAGACCTGCAGTTCTGTTCAAACAGTATGCAATATGCCCATTAGTTTTATGTATGTGTGATTTCTGCCACTGCTGTATGACTTCGTGCTCACCTATTGAAATCAATAGCAAAACCAGTACAGAATCGGACCCTTAGTGTACTGAATACCAAAACTCAAAGATAAGTTATTTTCTACGATAGCATTCCAAAAATAAAATACAATGCAATACAACGCAAGGTGACAACTCTGCTATCACATGATAATGTAATGTATTTCATGGCATACGTGTATTTAGACTGTTTATGTAATGTAATGTAACATGACAATATAGGCTGCCATGTATGTATTGTATCACAATGTGTATTAAAATACTGTGGCCCAATAAACTAGAAATTCAGCTGAAGTAAATGGAATTATGTGGGTTTACCCCAGCTGAAGATCTGACCTTCTATATGTAAATATCACAGCGTGGTAATCTTGTTAATTGTGTTAGTTCCTGATGACCACATTACTCTGGAAAAATTTTGTGCAGCAGAGTTTCATTCAATTGTATGTAAAAAATGTTTTTTCCCTCTTGATAATGGGTTTTATTGGGGAGATCCTGGCAACAAATTGTGACGACTGAATTTAGTTGGTTGTATGGTTATATGTTAGGTGTTCTTGCTGACTGTTAGTTTTCTTAGTATTTTTACATTACCCTAATGCACTGATGAGCAAAGGAGTTCCTTTCTTGGTCTAAGCTGTGGACTTTTGTCCTACCTTTTTAAACCTGAAAATAACAGCCAAGTTAAAACCCTTCATTCTGATGCATTAAAACTATAGAGCAGAGCAATTACCTTGTGTTGTTATTATTGTTTTTATATTATACTGTTTTGTAGAAAGCATGTCCTAACTTTGATTTTGGAATTCATTGCCCTAATCACCTAGTCCAAAACTCCATTAGGCCAATAAAAAGATCCCTGTTGACTTCAGTTGACTTTGGATCTGGCCCTTAATGGTGGGAATAATGCAGACAGTATTATACCATCTTGTGACATAGTGCCTTTGTGTTATGTGCTTTAGGTGATATCTTCTACAAATAAGACATTTCTAACTCTGGAAAGGGGATGTTATTGGTTTCCAAGTGTAGATTTCATTATTTAGCATGTGCTTCTTGTGAGTGTTCTTAGCAATTTCCAGAGTCCTTGATTTCTACCCCACTTTTAATTTACAAATTGGAGTAACGCAGGAAGGCTCAGTACTTCTAACAAACCTCTAATGACACAAACCTCTAGACAGCCTTTTACTGAAATGTAGTTTGTTTCAGTTATGTGTGCTTATAATTTGTGGACCATACACAGAGGCAATACAGGGTGCATCTACATGTGATGTTTACTGTGGAGTAGACTAATTAGCTCTGCAGTAAATGTCTTGGCATCTATACATGCAGAGCTATTAGGCTAGAGTAAACTAACAAGCTCCACAGCTGCAGACTTTTTTACTCCTTAGCAGCTCATGTGTAGATGCTGATGCAGGTGGCTGAAGGGTGCTTCAGTGAGGGGGCTGCCTGCCAGCTAGCCCCACACTGGAGCACACTTGTCCCCCAGCCAACCCCTTCACAGCACACTGAACTAGGATGGAGTAGCCCCGAGCTGGCAGGCTCAACATGCTGTGGTCTGAAGTGCATGTATAAACACAGTGCCTTGGAGTGATAAACTCAGGTACAAAAGCACCAGAGTTTATTGCATCACATTAATATGCATGTGTAGATGTGCCCACAGACTATATTTTGTGAAAAGTGAAAGAGCATTTAGCTAGAGTTACTCCCACCCAATGACTGTGCGCTGTTACTTGCATTAGAATATTTGAGCCACAGTTTTCAAAAGTGGTAGCTGGTGGTCTTGGGTGATCAACCTGAATCAGTAGAAAGGAGACTGATTCTCTGAAAATGTTGTAATTCACCACTGAAAATCTTAGACTCTGTCTTTCCTTAATGATGCACCCTAGATTTTTGAGATAGAAAGAGGCCATGCAGTAAATCTGGTACATCTGGCTCTCTCTCATGTTTATACAATGTTCAGATTCCTTTTTCTGAGTTCTTGTCTAAATCTGTTTTTGCAGTATGCTCACAGTGGAAGCTTCTATTGCTGCCTTTTGTAAAGTCCATTCTATGTGATTTGTCTGTGCATATTTTACATTACACTGTTTATATTGTAATATGGTATATTTTTAATTTGAAATAATTATTTTGCAGATGTACAGAGGTCCTTGAGACAGTCTTTACTATATTGTTGATATTAGAGATATTAGAGAAGTGATAAATAGTACTGAATAATAAATTGTAGCACTGTGACTATTTCTTCAAAAGAAATGAGGCAGTAATGCCTCAAATGTATTTTTCCCACATCTGCAGGATCTACAGTATGCTCTAGGCCTGAAATTTTTATTTCCCATTAACTTTCTACTTATGATACAGTTTATGGGATATTTGGGGAAATGGCTGTAGTTTTCAACTCTGCAAAGCTTTGTGGATTTGGATTTTGTAATCCCTTAGAAGACCACTCTTAAATAAGAATTATTTTTTATTTTACTAAAGGTTGTTCATGAATCATAATGTTAATTTACTTCCATCTGTAATGTCACATGTCTTTATGCTGTGCATCATGTTATAACCTTACACAGTGGAAATATCTTGCAATTTTTTCTCTGAAACAGCCCTGAGGTGTAGTACCTTTTGGGAATAA